ATTGATCCCAGGACCCCAGGATCATGACCTGAGCCAAAGGCAGACGTTTAACCGACTGAGCCACCCAGGCGCCCCTTGGCTCCTGTCTTAAAGACAAAAAAGGTGTGGGGCAAGTGGAAAAGGTGCCACTGAAGAGGTCTCAGCCAGAGCCGCCTGGTATGTATGGAGAGTGAAGAACCTTTTATATAAAGAAAGAAATAAAATAACATCACAGAACTAGAGTTGGAACCCTGGGATTCATCTAATGAAACCCATACATAAAATGTTAATTCTCTCTAAATATCCCCTATCGTCTGGCTTCTGCTTAACCAATTCCAGGCCAGGGCATGACTTCCTTGGCAGCCATTTTGTGATCTGCATAACTACCCTAACTGATGGAGCCTGTAATCACTCAAAATGTTTTCACTTAAAAAAAAGAAAAAGAAACAGGAACATCTTGAACTGCACATCTAGGCTCAATGACATTTGCGAAGGACAGAGATGCCAACGTCAGTTGCTTTGGGACCAGGATTTTTGACCCTTTAACGAAAAAATAAAGGTCTAAAAAATCATTACAGACTTCTGGTTCAAACAATTTCAGCACACTCATTTAATGCTCCCACTCCCCTCCAATTCCCACTGGAATGACCAAAAGAATAAAATATGGAAACAATCAGTGCTGGGAAATGGGCATCGGGAGCAGCTAGCCATCCATGTGCTGTGAGAAAGCCCAATTAGAGAGAAAGCAGAAGCTCAATCCTATGGAGCTCCTTCAGAAAATAAGTGTCAAAGCCCACGGAGAGCAAAAATTTAGGGATGAGTTACCCTTAGCTTAGATCCCATCCTAAGTGAGGGACCACGGAGGCTGGCTCCTAATCAAGGGAATCGTTCTAGTTAGAGGCAGGGGAATGCTGCCCCAGCTATTGCTGCGCTACCAAAACAAATACATAAAAGAAACTCAGTTTCTCAGAAAAACAGAGAAACTCCTTATTATAGAATCTCCCATGGCTATCTCTGGCTGTCAGCCCTCAAACAACCAGAATGGAATGGGGCAAAATAGAACTAAAATAAATCTAAAGTTTCCTCTTCTTCCTGCATTTAGGTCTGAAAGGTCTGTTCAGAGGCTCACAGCATCTTTGACAGAACTCACCACCCTCACCAAAAGCAGACCTCTCTATAGAGACAATGAGAGAAAAGTCACTGGACTTTCTGTGGAATAAGAACTAATGTCCTCCTATGAAACTGTCTTACTACAAAAAAAGAGAGAAAACATGAGAATATTTCCTTTTTTTTTTTTTTTTTAAGATTTATTTATTTATTTGAAAGAGAGACAGAGAGAACACAAGCAGGGGAGAGGCAGAGGAAGAGGAGAAGCAGACTCGCCGCTGAGCAGGGAGCCCGACATGTGGCTCGATCCCAGGACCCTGAGATCATGACCTGAGCTGAAGGCAGACGCTTAACCAACTGAGCCACCCAGGTGCCCCAACATTAAATATTTCTATATTGTATTTTCACCAAGATACAGGAATACACTGAAAAGGAAAACCCAAAGATCAGATAAGACTTGTTCTACTTGTGTTTACAATTGTGTTGGATGTGATCACTTACAGGTTTGTCTTTCCTGTTAGACTACGAACTTTTCCTAGGCGAGAATTTTGGTTCTAGTCATCTTTGAATCATAGTACCAAGTGCAATGTCTGGAATAGCAAAGGTACTGGAAACCAGTAAGTGTTTACTGAATGAATGAGTAAACTCTTAAAGTTGATTCTATCAGAGCTTATCTTCTTAAGTACAATAGTTTTTATTCTCAATATCCTTATTAAAAATTAAAATTTTCTCTATAATTCTTATACTTCTTTATTCTAATATCTGCAAATACAGTAAGTTTTAGATAATTCACATAAAATGCACATAGAAAGCTAACAGTAAATTACCTCTTCCTGAAATTACTGAGCTTTATCAGATCCTAAAATATGTCCTCAAAAATGAATACTTAATATTCAAGAAACAATTGATTCCCAATGGACACTATACAGTTAATATGAGATAAAACTTCACAGAAACAGTGAATAAGTGTTAATATAGAAATGTTAACATAGAAACTGCTTTCCTTTTCCTGGTCTCCCATCAAATGCAAGGAAGTCCTAGAGGATAACTCTGAAAAAGCTTGTAGGCCAAATACCAGAATGATCTATATGGGGAACACTGATGGTAAAGTGCTAATCCTACTATGTGGAGAAAAACACAAAGAGCAGAAATGGATCTGTCAAGCGATTAGATTACTGATGTTTATTAGGTTGGCTCTGTATTCACTGCTGGTTTGTCAAAAATTAAAATATTGCCAAAAATTTCAGGCAGATCGTTACACATAAACAAACATGTGACTCAATTTCAGGAAAGCCCAGTGTCATGCATGGGAAACTGAAAATGTGGAAGCCCGAGATCTGAGGCCAGTGATCCCACCACAGATCAGGAGACAGTGTGGCTGCCTTGAGGCCATTCCACATGGCATTCATGTAACTCCTCCAACTCTGCCAGGTAGAGAACACTTACTCTCATTTTATAGACTTGGCAACCAACAGTCACAGTGATTAGGTGTAATTACTGAAAAAAGATAATGAGACATACAAGTTAGATTCACTTCCTGGAGAGGTTTCTTAAGTTTTCAGAGGCCCTGGTATGGTATTCTAGGAAGTATGAGAACTTAGTAGCTAACTGAGTGCCCCAACTGGCAGGTTTCAATCGTCACAACTCTTGGGTAATATTCAAGGCACTGGGGATATAAAAGTTAACAAATGTCACCTTATGAAGAAGTTCACTGATTGGTGACAAACAACAATTTCATCTAGACGTAATTACTCCTACCCCAGACCTCTTGGTATAAAGAGGCGCTGAGGAACAGATGTCAAGCATCCAATGCAACGTGCAACTCAAAGGAGGCACCTATTTTATCATCACCTTAGGCCTTGGGAAGCAGAGGATGATCTGAGAGTCCAAGTTTCCTGACTTGTAATCTAGGGTCCTTTTCCTTTGTAGTGGACTCTTTGGTTACCTCCCTAGCATCTGTTACGCCCTTCCAACAGGCCCACTTTTGTTTAGTATCCTATGTGGTTTCTGGAAAGCTGACTCAACCCAACTCTGCTCCTGCCTCTAAGCCAGCAAATGGGTACATTCCATCTCCCTTGCCACAGTGACAGGTACAGGGACAGGCATGTCATTGAAACTAGTTAACTAGAGTGAAACTTAGGATTTTTGCTGGGACAAAGATGAATGCAAGTCAGTAGAGATCTTGCCACTATGCAGAAAGTCACTCTTGGAAGGAAGCCAGTAACAAGAAAGGAGGGGCAAAGATGAAAACAAACCAATTCTTTGAAAACAGGGCTGTCCTCAGCCTCTCTTGAAGCCCAGCCTGCTTCAAGACTTTTCAGTTAGAAGATTCCCAAAACCCAGAACTGACAAAAATAAGATCTGAATTATAATTTTAGGTTTCTCATGTTACCTTCAAAATATTATCACAAATAGGCTGGTTATGTAATAAAAACTACATACATCAAAACCATGTAACACAGAGAGCATGAGTCCTTAGACCATGGCCCTCCCAGCCTCAACTGGCTTCTCTGCTTCTGGTGGAACCTATAATGGTGAACTGGACCCGAGAAGGGAGGTCTGCAGTGCTGCTGTCATCATGTGACTCAGACCACATGGTCTCTCCTGTCTGACACTGCTGCAGGGGACCAACTTCTATCTGTAGCTGTGCAGACAAGGGGCTGTTTCCTTTTCTTCACACCTGACCTTGCGAGTGAGAAATCTCACTCAATATTGGTATATTCAGAAAAAAAATCATGGTTGAATCAATCAACATTTCAAAAGCATCATGTTGGTGAAATACTTAATAAATATCTGCCATATTTGCTTGATCTCATTTGTATACATACATACATATTAATAAATATGTTTGGCTGCACTATTCCTCCCTTCCTCCCTTTCTTCATTTCAAAGTATACTCTACCCCCAATATGGGGTTCGAAGCTCACAACCTCAAAATCAAGAACCGCAGGTTCCACTGACTGAGCCTTGGCTGCACTATTTCAACATGAGTTATAGAAATCCTACCCCTAGGGGCGCCTGGGTGGTTCAGTTGGTTAAGAGTCTGCCTTCGGCTCAGGTCATGATCCTGAGGTCCTGGGATCGAGCCCCCACATTGGGCTTCCTGCTCCGCGGGGAGCCTGCTTCTCCCTCTCCCTTTGCCCCTCCCCCTTCCATGTCCCTTCGTGCTCTCTATCCTGCTTTCTCTCTCTCTCAAATAAATAAATTCTTAAAAAAAAAAAAAAAAAAGAATCTTACCCCTAAATACTTTACCTTTTCTTTTTTTAAAGTAGGCTCCACATCCAACGTGGGGCTTGAACTCACGACCCTGAGATCAGAGTTGCATGCTCTCCCATTGAGCCAGCCAGGCGCCCCATCCCCTCAATACTTTAGCACGCATCTCCTTGGAATAAAGACATTCTTCTACAGACTACACCACCATTATCACATGATAATTCCCTAATACCTAATATACATGGTAAATTCAAATTGCTTTACTTGTCTCCAAAATGTCTTCTATAGTTTTTTTTTTAAATATATTTTTAAATTTATTTGACAGAGACAGACACAGCAAGTGAGGGAACACAAGCAGGGGGAGTGGGAGAGGGAGAAGCAGGCTTCCTGCCGAGCAGGGAGCCTGATGTGGGACTCAATCCCAGGACCCTGGGACCATGACCTGAGCTGAAGGCAGACGCCTAACAACTGAGCCACCCAGGCACCCTATAGTTGATGTTTTTGAACCACAATCCAATCAGTGTTTATGCATTGTAGTTGCTTTTTATGTGTTCCTTAGTCTCAACCTGGAGGGAAAAAATGAGTCTCCATATGTTTACATTTTCCAAAAACATTTAATACAATTCATTGGCAAATGAGATATTTTCCTCTAAGTTTGTCTCCACGAACTCCTGGAGAACAGACCTCAGAGAAGAACCTACCTGGGGGGCTAAGTAGCAGAAGAACCTCTGTGTGCTCCATAGTTTGCAGGAAATCACTCAGTTCCATGACCGTACAACCTTTCTCACCCAACAGCTTCAGTAAACATAAGCTTGGACTTCCTTCAGGCTCCAAGACCTTAAGAGAACACTGCTCCAAGTCCAGGCAACTGCAAACAACAGATTTAATTCAAGTCAATAGTTTTCTCCAACATGATATGCCTGCTCTATGTCTGGCATGATTGTAGGTGTTTGTAGGGATAAACCGTGAGTCGCTGAGTGGTGAAAAGTTATTTCCATTATGAGTGCTACTGTCCTTTCCTCCTTCTGCCATCACAGGGAATTCCTCTTTATGCCCTTCTCCAACTCAGCTCCTGAGACTACTAAATGAGAAGATGAGAGAAATCCCATAACAGGATGTGAGAGAAATTTGGCTTTGATCTTGATCAAAATTTTTACCTTTAATTTGGGACTATGAATTAGGAAGATCAGATACATTTCCCTACTTGTTCTTCTGCTTTTATTAAGCATTATATGACCCAAAAAAGAGGCATAGATCTTTGAGACATCGTGAAAGATGAAAAAACTTAACATACAGTATTTTGTATTAGTAAAGTAGTGTGCCTACGTATGTATTCATACAGTAAAGATACAGAATAGTGTTTGTTCTGCATGATACCATTTTTATTAGTAAGAATATGTGTTTGTTCTTATATGTACAGAGTTAACCTTGAAAAGATAGCCAAGAAACTAGTAGCGATTTTCCTAGAGAGGGGGCCGGGGCAGGAGAGCTCAGCTGGACGATTCAGCTTTTCACTATAAACCCTTTTGTACTGTTGGACTTTTTACTACGTGTGCTCATTTTTTCAACAAATTTTAAAAGACTATTAGTGACATTCAAAGTACTTCTAAGTACCTAGAAATACCCTAACACAGGGGCAAGACAAACACTGGTCTGTGGGCCAAACCCACCCAGTCACCTTGTAAACGGTTTTGTTGGAACACAGCCACGCTTGTTCACATACACGTTTACAAAGGTGGACGGCTGCTTTCCTGTTAGAACAGCAGAGGTGAGTCGTTGGTCTGCAAAGCTGAACAAGTTGGCTGACTTCTGCTCCAAAGAATCTACTTTCTGCCTCATTGTCCTTTTGTTCAAACTATTTTTTTTTATTATCACTATTTAACATACATAACAAAATTTCCTTTTCAGTATTATTGTGTTCAGTAGGCATACACAAGGTTAGAAAGACAGGTTAAGATCAGACTACAGAAGGCCACAAATAATGGGACAAGGAGTATGGACTTCAACCATTTCACAGAAAGGGAAAGCACAAGTATGAAACATTCAAGAGAAGAAAAACAGTGTAAGTTAAACCAAACAATCAAAACAACAGAAAACCCCCAAAAATCTTCCCAAAGATGATGTAATGTATGGTGATTAACATAATAAAAAAAAAATCTTCCCAAAGAGACATAACCACTAACAAAGGCCAACCAAAGTCTTTAATCTTCATGATATACTGCAGAATTCGCACATCACACATCTTTGCAGCCAACCTCTCCCTTTCCTTCCAATTTGTAGTCCAATATAAACTTCAGCTTCTCTGTGAGTTTCACCCAGACCACACAAGTCCCCCAAACACACGTTAGACATATCTCCTGATGGCACTTACCTTACATATTAAAGGTTGACAAATTTCTGTAAAGTGCCAGAAGGAAAATATTTTAGGCTTTATGGGCCATATAGTCTATTGCATGTTCTTCTTTCTTGTCTTTTGTCTCACAATTTTTTTAAATATGAAAACCAATCTTAGCCCATAAACTGCAAAAACAGTGGCAGTGGCCCAAATCTGGCTCAGGGATCATTGTTTGCAGACCCCTGTTCTCTCTGTCTCAGTTGACACAATTTTGCCTTAAAACCGTGAGCTTTTCGGGGCGCCTGGGTGGCTCAGTCGATAAGCATCTGTCTTTGGCTCAGGTCATGATTCCCTGCTCAGCGGGAAGCCTGCTTCTCCCTCTCCTGCTCGCCCCTGCCTGTGTTCCCTCTCTGGCTGTCTCTTTCTCTGTCAAACAAATAAAATCTTAAAAAAAAATAAATAAATAAAACCATGAGCTTTTCTTTCATAGGCATGTCTTCTCTACCTAACTAGATTACAGTACTCCTTGAAAACAGAAACCCTGTATTTTTAACCCCTCAATACCTAAAATCTGTCTTGCCCATATTAATTATTCGTAACTGAATGATTACTGCATGAATTTCAATCATAACTAAAAAGGCTGGAGGACTGGATAGATGGAAAGGGTCAGACATAACAGTATCACAGCTGTGCCAGATGCAAGGTGAGCAAGTTTTCATATGACTTGGAACATTCTTTTCCTTTTTTAGAGAGAGAGAGAGAGAGGGGCGGGGGAAGAGGGATAGAGAGAGAATCTTAAGTAGGCTCCATAGTCAATGCAGAGTCCAACACGGGGCTCGATCTCAAAATCAAGACTCGGAAGTTTAACAGACTGAGCCACCCAGGCACTCCTGGAATAGTCTTAATCCACATTCCTTTTGATCAGTTTTATTAAAAGGCTACCATAGCATTTATATAATGGTCACTCAAGATTTATAATTCTGTGGTGAAGTTGGTAATCTCATAACTTTAGAAAAAAAATGTATCCAACCAAAATAATTTCAATACTAGTATCATCTATCTCATAGGATTGTTAGAATTAAATTAGATAATCCATGCTAGAAGTACTTAGCAAATAACAAACACTCAATAAAAGTGAGTTCTTATTATGCAATAAAAACATGGGATATTAAAAGAACAATAGTTTCTTAATTATGCTGATTTCTGAAACTGTTTTCCCTTTTCCTTAAAAATGTTTTTGAGTAGTTACTGGTTGGGTAACCTGATCATGTCCTTCAAGGCCTCCTGTCTCTATACTCACTAGGTGTTCCTTCTAAGTGTCTCAGTTAAATGTGTATATTCAATACTCTATTTTTGTTAAATGTGAATCATAATATAGGTCAATTGTTCCCAAATGCTGGATGGTAGACTAGTGGCAGCACAATTTGAAGCCCAAGGTAAAATGATAAAAACAAGGACAATAAGACTGCCTTTTACTCTGAGATGGTCTTTCCTATTTCTTAGTGTTAAAGCGTCCTTTCTCCTCTGAAATAACGGTGACTATGAAGACAGCAACAACGAAAGCTGCAGATGCCCGCCACTCCTCTACTCTGTCAGATTTTCTTTCCTTAGTCCCTGTAACACCCAGGTCAAGAAACCAGTATTAGAGAGAATAGAAGGATTACCATTCTTTTAGATAATTAGAATATGAGATCTATAAAAACAAGGATGTTGTGTGCTAAATATTTTTTTTTTTTTATGATTCAGAAAGGTGGTCGGACTCTGGTACAAAAAATTCAGAAGCCATCTCACCAAATGCAACCAAGTGATGCTTTGATGTTTATACTGATATAGAAAAAAGTGAAAAACAATTTGACTTCTTTCTTCCAAATGAAGAAAGAGGTCGAGATGAAGGAGACAAAATTTTCCAATACAAGAGGCACAGGAGAAAAACAAGATTCTGTATCTCCTTTCCTTTTTTACTGATTTTCCGCCTGGGCACTGGCTTTCGGCTCAGATGATGCTTCTAAATACCCAGACTCTTTCTTTCCTTTTTTAGTTACATTCCTGTAAGACTGTGCTTTGAAGTGGTTTCTACCAGGCCTAATTTGGAATTTCTCATTTAAGTTAAAAGACCATTACCGAAAAAAATGCGCTTTGCTTTTAAGAAAATATATTTGTATTTCTCTTCACTTCATATATATATATATATATAGATATAAAATCGCTTCAAAAAATATATAATCAAATAGAACACATCATACATCCCTTAGGGTACAAACCATGGCACTGCTTTTAGATTCTTTTGCTTCTCTTCTTGGAACATTTACTCTTTGAAATCTCTATTCATTAATTCAGCAACTACTTATTAATCATCTAAAATAGGCCAACTATTTTTCCTAGGTATTTAGGATACTGCAGCAAACAAAATTCCCTATCATCCTGGATTTTCCTACAAGATATAAATATACATATGCACGCAGAGGCAGACAAACAGAGGTGTGTGTGTGTGTGTGTCCATCCAATGGTTGTAAGTGCTCTGGAGAAAAGCAAAGCAGGGGGCTAAGTAATGCTGGACCACATGTACGGGGTAATTTTAAATAATGTGATCAGAGAAGACCTCACTGAAGGAGGTGACCTGTAAGTAAACACTTGAAGAGGTAAAGTCACGCAGTTCACCTGTGGAGACTATCGCAGACTGAGGAAAAAGCAAGTACAAAGACCCTCCTGTGTTCAAGCCAAAAGCAAGAAAGCAAGTGTGCGGAAAGCACAGAAAGGGAGGAAGATAATGGGGTCCAAGAGATGACTGGTGGCTAGCTAGTGTTTTTATCCTGAATCAGAAAAGCAATTAAAGGGTTTTGAGCGGAGGAAAGGTAAGACCCGACTGGACGTTTCAAAAGAGTATAAATTCTCACTGCTATGCTGAGAATAGCCGGGGGGGGCGGGGGCAGAGGCAAAGCGGGAGGAGAAGTTAGGCGGCTACTGGAATGATCCAGGGGAGAGAGGGCAGTGGCTGGCCCAGGGCTGGGGCAGCGGAGGTTGGATTCTGGATGCACACTGAAGGCATAGCAGATGCGGATCGCTGATAAAACGGACGTGGTGTGTAAAAGTGGAGTCAGGAATAATTTTGAAGTATTGGGCCTGAGTAATCAGAGGGCTGCAGTTGCCATTTCCTGAGATAAAGAAAACTGAATGAAAAACAGGTCTGTGGGGAAAGACACGCTAAGTTTTGGACATGCTACGCTTAAGATCTCTTAGTCATTCATGGGGAGATGGCAAATCGACATCTGCAGGAATGAATCCAGGGGGTTCAAAGCAAAGAGATGGACTGAAGATACAAACTAAGAGGAATCCACCTAAGTATGTATAGTCTTGAGACTTAAGGATACACCGAGAAAGGGACTGGGTGGAGACACGTAGATAAAGAGACACAAAGCCTGGATCCAACGGCACTCCAAATTTCAGACACCGAAGAGACAGGCCGGAGAGACAGAGACAGGAGAAGATCCTTTGTTCCAGCTTTGCACACGTTCTCATTCTTATCACAAACTGCAGGAAGGCAGAAGTCTGCAGCTACAGAACACCTTCTGTACAGCAGGTGCACAGGGATGGTTTTCCTTGGTCCCTGTCCCAAAGCCCCCTTCCACAGCTCCCTCCTGCATGGAGTCCAGGCAGTGTTAGAGCCTCCTGAAAGGCTCTGTCACCTTCAGGGTGTGGTGGGCAAGACACTCAGAACCTGCATCTGTCTGCACTGATGGCAAAGGCTGTTCAGAATCAGGGCGGTCTGGAATGGAATTAGGGCTGAGTTTGTATTTAGGGCACTCCCGTATGCGCCCGGTTGTGGGAAACCAAACTGGAAGCCAGGACTGATTCTGAGTCACCCATAATCGTATGAAGACTTTTACAATTACTCCTAATCCCTGATGGACAGTTTAGGATGGACTCTTGGGGTTTCTTCATCAAATTCTCATCTATTTGAGGAAACGTGTATAGCGTCAGAAAAAAATGTAAGAAACAATAGGCAACCTTGGAAGATTTTAGGGAAAAAAGTCCACCCCCTTTGTCCACTTGGACCCTCCCACTTCAGTTCCTCGGTCTGACACTGACACTAGAGAAAAATACCTCTGGGACTTTCTGCTATCCTAGATGCTCTTCTAGTACCAGTATGAAATTACTCTGAAATAGCTTTTTTGTCTTAAACAGAGTAAGCATCGCCAGCTTACCTTGCCCCGTCAGATGTCACTCGCCAGCCCCTAAGCTCCCAGTGCTAACCTTTTGTTACGCCAGTTTAACTCCGATTTCAGTAGGTATATGACTTTAATATTCCCCAATTTTCTAACCTGGAGGGGTGCCCCCACTCCCACCACCACTCACCTATTCTGAACTAGTTTTCAACATCCTGGAAGACTGGTGAAATCCCATCTATTTCTTTTCAGACTTCCCACCCTGGAATTTGCCAGATTCCACGAATGCACGCCCTTTGTTGCCCGCGAGGCAACTGCCCTTCTCTCTATACTTCCTTCGCCAGAGATGTGGCCTCAGACTTTTCTGTTAGTTTGCCAAACGAATCATTCTGTAGCCTTCGGCAAAACCTGACTGAAGGCTTGGGGAGGAACACAGAACACCTGATGTCAGGTATCCACTACTTCAGCCAGGCTTCTTCAGTGGCAGGGCCTTCCTTTCTTCTCTTTCCTCCACTGTCAAATTAGGAGTCCTCACTCCCAGGCCCTCCTCAGGAAAGTCCAGAGCCTTCCCTAACTAGTGTACTAATCACAAACTAACCAATCACAGATCTGATGATCCGATCCCAAAGAAGACAACTTTTTACACTACTAAGTCTAGAAATTCAGAAATCTACAGACCTAGTGTAATAGTATTTTGGATTTTCTTTGCACAGCCCCTCTCCCTAAGAGAAACATGTTCTTTCCCGGAACAGAAAATTGTGCCATCTGTCTGCTCAATTTTGCAAGTTTACCACTTCTTAATTCCAACCTCACATCATTACTCCTCTCTGTGGCCAAAGAACCCTAAATCATCATGACCCTGGTTTAATCCCAAACTCTGAAACTCAAGGTTGTTGTGAGGGCTAAAGTAAGATAATGCATGTAAACATCTAGTGCATTGGTATATACTAAGTGCTCAATAAATGATAACAATCCATTGTTATTATTATTCACACCCAACACAGCATTTAACATGTTATTTATGAATGTCCCAGAATAACAATCCATTACTAGAGACATCCTTGTGAATAGGAACTAAATATTTGTTATCTTTTTATCTTCTGGAACTTCCCGCTCATAATAGGCACTCAATAAACATAATTGTGAATGAACGGCTCCCCTCTCAAACGTATTTATAGTGTCTAAGATAGGTTCTATGCATAACACACAGAATCTTAACTGATGCCTCCTCTTCTCAAGGAGTTTATAAGAAAGTGTACAAATAATTACAGTCCAAGGCAAAGTTTAGTCATATGAGAAGTTAAAAAAAAAAACAACTTCTAAGGGATTCCCCAGGCAGACCAAAATCCTAACAATGGTATAAAGGAATGGTTCTAAGTGTGGTCTGGGCACCCCTAGTGCAGTTCCTGAGACCCTGTCACGGGATCTGCAAGGTCAAAACGATTTTTCACAGTAACACCGAGATGTTATTTATCGTTTTAATTCACTCTCTGAGTAAGTGTACACTGTGGAGTAACCAGTGTTACATGATCTGGGACAGCGCAACAGACTGAATGCAGAAGCACGTAAAAGAGGCCCGTTCTCTGCAATAAAGACAAGACACAGAAGAGATCTTCAAAATGTAAAACAATGCCACTTCTCTAATTTTTTTGTTTTGTTTTGGAAAAGTTTGTTTTTCCACAAAAACATGTAATTTGTTAACAAGTAACAGGTTATTCTTTTAAAATAAGTTAAAATTTTTAACGTTTCTTAGTTTTAATCTTTAATAGGATAAATATATGTGTGTAATACATGGAACCCACATTAAAAACTCTCTGGGGTCCTCAATAATTCTTCACGGTGTAAAGAAGTACCGAGACCAATAGTTCGCAGTTCCTATCCTGGGAAGAGGAAAAAAGTTTTACTTCGAGCTCAGTGCTCACGGTGAAGTCAAGAAGAGAACCTGGTCAGTTGGTTTGATGGAGGAAGATGGTAGTTTTAGTATCAGCCTTTCCCATGATCAACCTCTCCTATGTAAAAACTTCCATGAAATCCTGCACCCAAGCCCTTCGCTTTCATTATCTCTTTACCAGCACTTCGCCTTCCTTAGGTCTTCCCGGTCTGTGCCCACATCCCGTTCTTTTGGACGCTAGGTCCTTTGGAATGACTGCCCTGTCCTAGTGGTTTCCAGACAGCTTGCCTTCCCTCCAGATTCTTCTGGGTCGCCCCCCCTTCTCCCTTTCAGCTCACGGGGAGGAGGGTCCAACCTCGGATCTCCGGCATTCCCACGCTTTCCGGACCGAGATCCCCCTCCGCGCGCCTTTCACCGCAGCGGCCCCCGCACCGCTCCAGCCGCCGGCACGTCGGTCCTCCCACCCGGGTGCCCGCTCGCTCCCGCCCCGCAGGCCCCTGCCCCACGCCCCCCGCGCCCCCGTCCCTCACCTGAGCCGGAGGCGCCCCCGACTCCCCGCCACCTCGGCCAGCCTCCTCCAGCCCCGGCCCTCGGGCGCTCGGTCCAGGCTCCCGCTGAGTCTCCGCAGCAGCGGCTCCGGAAGGCGGTTGAGGGTCGCGCCGAACGAAGCGGGGAGCGGCAGCCCCGAGGGCGCGGCCGGAGACGGCTGCAAGGCCGGGGGCGGCGGGGCCTGCAGCAGCTCCCCGCACAGCGACCCGTCCGACGCCGGCGACCCCGCGACTTGTGCTGGTCCCCCCGGGCGCATCGCGGGCCTCGGCTCCAGCGCACCTTCCGCTCGCCCCCTCGCTCGCCCCGGCGCCGAGGAGGCAGAGGCCGAAGGACAAAGCCGTGTACGCCGCACCACACTCTGAGGAGGAAGCTCCGCTCCCCGCCCGGCCGAGACAGGTTTGCCTGGGGGAGCCGGGCGGGCGGGGCCTCTGGCGGGGCGGGGCCTCTGGCGGGCCGCCCCCTTGCGCGCGTGCGCGCGGCCGCGCGTTTCCTTCGCCTTCCGCCGCCGCCGCCCGGTCGCGGAGGCGCGCGCTTCGGAGCTGGGGAGGTGGAGTCGGGCTGAGCAGGAAAGGTCGGGTGGTTGCCGCTGGGGGAGGAAGCGGTACAGGAGCTACACCCGGGCGGCTCCACTTCGGCTAGGAAGCATGCGGCGTCGGGGCTTCCCGAGACCGTGGGAGGAAGATTGCCTCACGCCGGAGACGGGAGCTCGCGGCTCTCCATCGCCGGCCCCAGCTGACTCAGTGACTTGCGTGTGCCGGCTCCCGCGTTGGGCAACCTCAGCCGAGGCTTCCTCGTTTTAGGGTCTGATGTGTATGGCATTGCTAAGGGAAGTGGTTCCTAGACATCAGATACCTAATGGAAATTTGCTCGAAATCTGTGCCTAGACTTTTTTTTTTTTAACTGGGCGGCAGATCATGGGAATGATTGTTTTTAGCAGGAATTGCCTGGTTTCCTCCGAGTCAGACTGCCACCCATTGAAAACTAGAGAGTAGTTTGGGGCAAAAGCAAGCAACTTACGGAATGTGACCAGCCAGGTACTCTCAGACACAAGGCTTCCTTGCCCAATTTCCGGTGCCATTAGCTTTTTCATCACACAGGACAACAGGATTTTCTGTAGCAATTTGGGCACTCAAATTCTCCCTAACTTCTGGCGAGATAGTTAGTTGCTTCATACATTCTCCCATCACATTCTAGCACAAGCAATCACTATACTTTTTCATCCGGTCTAAGTGCAGAGTTCAGAATGCTGTATAATGGCTAAGTGCACGACCTTTTAGATCCAGAAAGATCTGCTGGACTCTAGTTTTATGACCTTGAATAAATTACTTAATTCTCTGCCTCATCTGTTAAAAATGGGATTGAAAATATAGTAGTCTGTATAGAGTTGTTACCAGAATTAAGGGAGTTGATGTAAGTAAAGCATGTAATTCTGCTTGTCACATAGTAGATAACAAATGCTAGCTATTATCCTTAGAAATGCAAAAGCTTGTTTCATATTGTTTGACTTGGTAAACCTTTCCCAATTACTTCTGGTGCCTTCCTGTTTCGTTCTTAGTCATTGAACATATAGGAGAGTCTATTAGCTGCATGTGCCAATTATGGAAATCAAGTCTTCTAGTTTTTATTGGTCTAGTCTTTATTAGTTGACTGGTCTTTTAAAATTGAGATTCAAGACTTCTTTTTTCTAAGTCTGCTATGTGCAAGGTGTTGCTTATGCAGCTTCTCATATGTGCCTAAGGGTTAAAATGCACATCTATCTTATTTACCCTGGGAGAATCCTTCCCAATTTGATCTTTGTACAGTATAGCTCAGCTAGATACTAACCGTGTCCATCTGCTCCCATCTCCTCTTCGGCTTCTCCTCTCCTGCCAGGAGGACTGCCTCCCTCATTTCACTCTAGTCTGGGTCCTATTTTCCACCTTGCAATTTTATTTAATTTTTTTTAAGTAGGCTCTACCCCCAGCATGGGGCTTGAACTCATGACCTCGAATCAAGAGTCTCATGCTCTACTGACTGAGACAGCCAGGTGCCTCCTACCTTGCAGTTTTATAACCTATTCAGTCACCCCACCCACCACCCTCCAACCTCTACCATGGACTGACATTACATTTTATGATTGGTCTTTTTCTCCTCCTAATCAAATATTAATATATTTATTATGTAATTTCACCCCCTGTGGTTCTCTTAAGGGGCATAATGGTTTAATAGGGAAAATTATGACCTTTAGAATTAGCCCTGAATTTGAATTTTGAGGCTGCCACTTATTAGAGACATGACTCTAGGCAAGTTACTTAACTTCTCAGCTTCAATTTCTACATCTGTAAAAAGCAAAAGATAATAGTACCTGCTTCAAATGATATTATGAGAATTAAATGAGAGTTAATGTATACATATAAAAAGTGTCTGGGAGAAGTAGATGCAGGGTATATTAGTACTCTCAAAATTGCCACATTAATTTTGGGAACAAAATAAACAATAATTCAGCTTTCCTTTCCTATACCAACCATTACAATTATACACAAGAGAAAAATTGAGAGTGGAGATCTGGCTTTTAAATGCACCTTAAAATTTCATGCATATCGTTAGATGATGTACTTGGGAGTTCTTCCTCATTAGTTGAAAGTGGCATAGGTCTTTGTGAATCCAGACAGTGCAAAAAGCTTGTGGTTTCTTTCTATGGAAATCCATTGATGTAATCTTCAAAATACAAATCTGGAAACTGACTCATAGATTTCTCTTCCTTTACATGATTTGACTCTAGATGGTACTTTAACTAAAAGTGCCAGAACAACATGTTATTTCATATCTGGACAGGTGTTCAAAGGCCCAGTGCAGGAGAAAACCTGCAGGTCCTGGGATTGGTATACAATAAAGAGGAAGGAAGCAGGAGTCTTGTGACTTAAGTGGTACCCCTTGTCTTTCACCCTTATTCCATACCAGCACCTTTCATGTCCTCTGACTCAGCTCTGTGTTGAGGCCACTCGGTGTACCCTCAGATACAAGGTTCTCCACATCCACTGCAGCCCCTTCTTGCTGCCATCTCCCAAAAGATTAGGGACATTTTCCCATTCTGATTTCACCTTTGGAATAGTAACGAAGTGTTGTAATAGTATTCCATACTTTCCCATCATAATGAATCATCCATAGCAAACTACATTTACTTGTCTAAATTCATTCATTCATTCGATCATTAACAAATATTTACTGATGCCTACCTTGTGCCAAACTCTGTGCCAAATACTGTTAAAGGATAGTTTTTATTAAGGCTTTTTTGGGGGAGGGCACAATTTTAGACTCACGGCAAAATTGAGGGGAAGATACAGATTTCTCATATACCCTCTGCTCCCACACATGCAACCTCCGGCATTAATCAACATCCTGCAGCAGAGTGGTACACTTGTTACAACTAATGAACCTCCACTGATACATAACCACCCCAAGTCCATAGTTTACATAAGGGTTCGCTTTTGGTGTGGTACATTCTGTGGGTTCAGACAAATGTATATTAACATGTATCCACCATTATTGTATTATATGGATGGTATCTTCACTGCCCTAAAAATCCTCTGTGCACCACCTATTCATCCCTTTGCCCTTGAACTCCCATGAGACTATCAATGGGTAGTTTAGCAGTGCTTTTTGAGATGGAAGACATTCATGTGCAACACAGTCACATCGCTTTCACCACCTTTCCTTCTGATTCAAGAAAATATAGCTCAGGGGCGCCTGAGTGGCTCAGTCGTTAAGTGTCTGCCTTCGGCTCAGGTCGTGATCCCGGGGTCCTGATCCCTGCTCGGCGGGAAGCCCGCTTCTCCCTCTCCCACCCCCCCTGCTTGTGTTCCTGCTCTCGCTGTCTCTCTCTGTCAAGTAAATAAAATCTTAAAAAAATAAAAGAAAAATATCTGAGCACTGGTATGATGATAGAAATAATTTTATGTATCATGATAGATATGGCATTGTGATAGGAAAAGTCTTGAATCAGGTCTAATTTATTATCTACAAAGCAAATCACTCAGAAACTGATACTTAAATGATCATTACTAACAAATCACTGGGGACACATTTCAGCTGAAGGTGGGAACTGCAGTTGAGGTACTATTTCTCATGGCCATGAGACACTTTGTTGGGATTTTCAAAAGAGTACTATTCATCCACCCAGTAGTGTTCAGACTTCGTGACAAAAACAACTGCATTGGGCTGCAATACAATTAATGAAGGAAGTCATTCAATAATGTTTACCAACTACCAATTAGTACTCTCTTAGGATGTAGGAAAAACACCAGTGTGCCTCATCTTTGGCTTTACTTAAGAATCACATGAGGGTGAGGCGTCTGGGTGGCTCAGTTGGTTGGGCACCCTACTCTTGATTTTGGCTCAAGTCATGTTCCCAGGGTCGTGGGATCTTCAAGCCCTGCTTCGAGCTCCACGCTCAGCAGGGAGTCTGCTTGAGATTTTTCTCTTTTTCCCTCTGCCCTTCCTCCCCAACTCATGTGCTCTCTTTCTCTCTAACTATTTGAGAGAGAGAGAGAGAGCATGAGAGGGGGGAGGGTCAGAGGGAGAAGCAGACTCCCCGCTGAGCAGGGAGCCCGATGCCGGGACTCCAGGATCATGACCTGAGCTGAGGGCAGTCGCTTAACCAACTGAGCCACCCAGGCGCCCCTAAAATAAATAAATCTTAAAAAAAAAAAAAGAATCACATGAGGGCATGGCAGTTCATCAAAAAGTTAAATGTGCACTTTAGCAGCACATATACCAAAATTGGGATGATACAAAGAAGATTAATATGCCCCCTGAGCAAGGATGACAGCAAATTTGTGAAGCATTCCACATATATCTTTTTGTATCTGTATGAGATGATGGATGTTAACTAAACTGTTGTGACAATCACTTCATGATATATGCAAGTCAAATCATTTTGCTGTGCATCACTTACATCTCAATGAAACGGGAAAAAAATTAGACATAGAATTACCATATGACCCAGCAATCCCATTTCTGGGTATATAGCCAAAAGAATTGAGAGCAGGCACTCAAGCAGATTATTGTACTCCAGTATTCATAGCCTCATTATTCACAGTAGCCAAAAGGTGGACAGCCCAAATGTCCATTAACAAATGAATGGATAAACAAAATGTGGTATGTACGTGCAATGCAATATTATCCAGCCTTAAAAAGGATGGAAATGCTGACACACGTTTACAACATGCATGAACTTAGAAAGCATTACATTAAGTGAAATAAACCAGTCACAAAAGGATAAATACTGTATGATTCCAATTATATGAGGTACCTAAAAGGGACAAATTCATAGAGACAGTAAGTAGAATAGAGGTTACCAGGGCTTGCAGGAGAGAAGGGAATGGGGAATTATTGTTTAATGAATACACTTTTTGTTTGGAATAATGAAAAAGTTCTGGAAA